GACTAGAAATTTCCGTCTGCCCTATAAGTTTTTGCATGTATTTGCCTATACTCAAACAATTGGCACTAAACCCAACTAAGAGCTTTCATAGTTATTCTTAACTCTATAGTCGAAGATGAGGTCGAACCATCAATTGAACCAAGTCCGGTCATCGATTTTTTTAATGGAAAATCATGAAATAATTGTATTAGGTAATACAGACGGCAAAAGAATAGTAAAAATAACAGAAAATTTAGTATATGGTTATGTATAAATACCTAATATTATCTTGTAGATATCATTCTAGAAAATTAATGATTGAATGGATGTTTTCTCTCTCTCTCTCTCTCTCTCTCTGTTATTCTTTCATTTTCTCTCTCTTTGAATTTGGTCTCTCTATGATTTGATTTTTTTTATAATTCACACACATACCGATAATATCAGAATTATAATCATAGTGCAAGAATGGTAGTATCCGATAATACAAGTCTTTAAACAAGTCAAAAAAATTGAAGAAATAGAAAAACATATGGCAAACTTGAAACATAAAATGGAATAAGAACAAGCAAGACCATGTGTATATATTGGTCCAACCTTACAATCAAACTTGGCTGACAAAAAGATCCAACCAAAAGTTGGATATAATTTACAAAATTCTCTTTCTAATTTTATAAAAAATTGAAAAAATAGCATATAAGTGGTAGTTACGTAGTGGAATTCCATAAGATTCATCGTACTTTTCACATTTCACAATTTAAAAAAAAACACCCTCTCATGTTCCATTACAAGGAGAATCCATTATATCAATAGACCCTCCACAATAACCATTATGCATTCTAGCTAAATGATTAATCAAACAACAAAATCAACTTATGGTCGAATTGCTTATTAAACAGGACAATTTACATCCTATAGAAGCTATATGGGTGAATTCTACAAGTTTCTAACAAATTTTTGAATTTTTTCCTCGAGGACAAGGAATTTGAAAAGGAGTTATTATAACATAGAATCAAAAATTAATTGTATAAGGTAATACAGATGACAAAAGAACAACAAAAATAATAAAAAATATAGTATTAGATTGTGTATAAGTACCTAATATTTTGCTATACAATTTATTCTGAAAAATAATGATTGAACAATTGTCTTCTCTTTAAATCTCTCTCTCTCTCTCTCTCTATTATTCTCTCATTTTCTCTCCTTTTTTAAACTCTTAATGACTTAATTTCTCTTTTTTTTTTATAATTTCCACAGATATCACTATTTTAGCCCTAAATCCTCTCCTCCTTCCAGTCACATCTACATTATTTTTCTTATATCATAATTTCTCTCGATGCACTTACCTCATGCAAACATACCTAACCATTTTTCTTTGTCCTAAATAACTTAAAACCAAATTGGTTGGTTGGAAGAGTATAGCTTTATCCTATGTTGCACGAGTTGTAATGATACAAGTGGCCATCACAATTATGTCCATATACCTTATGTTAGCCTTCCTATTAGCCTAAACCATTATTCACTAAATCATTAAACTAGTTGATGTTTTTAATGAGGTATCCCAGATCATCAGTAGCATGGATTTAACCCATAAGTTGAAATACAGTAACTCTATCTAAACATTTAAAGGGCTTCATTTTCATAAGCTAAAAAGTATATAATTTGGTTCTCTTAGCCAAGCTTGGTTAGACAGTCCTTATTAATCCTCATACCCCTTGGGTGGAACTATTAAAAGCTAAATACCTTAAAGGCACCAGTTGTTCATTTTATACCCTTAAACCTAAAGATTTATATATCTAAAAATGCATGCTACAAGGCAAGGGTATCTTCCTCTAGATCTTTCTGTTGTAGGGGTGGCTCATATTGTGGCATGGGTGGAGGGTCAGACAACTCCCTCCTATTTTCCCAAGCCTATTAAGTAGAGATGAGTCTCTCCAGCATCTCGATGAGCCGATTGACATCCTCTCAAAGCGACCTATCCCAGGCTGCTCTGACCGGTGGGGGCTTTCCTCTCCTCATGTCTTTGTACTTGCATTTCACAATGAAGGGTTGAGTTTTGGGTTGTATTGAATGTTCTAACTTTTATACAAGGAATAGTTCTGAGGAATGCAACTCTGATACCAACTGTAAAGGCCCAAAACTTTAATGAAAATGAAAATATTGAATTAGTAAAATAATAACATAAGTAATTATTAGTTTAAGGTTTACATTCATTGCACAGTAAATCAGGATGCCCAATAAGGCTATGAGAATGTCCCTTTTAAGGAACTTAAAACAACAGAAATAGAAAAGAAACTAAAATCCTATAGGGTTATCCTCCACTAGGCAACTCTGATGGGATGCGAGAAGCAACTTTTAGTCGTAACCTTCTTACGGTTAAGAATTTGAATCTTGGTCTTCCTTATCTAAAATAGTTAAATAAGGGGGATGAACTACATTAGTCTAGTAGAAATATCAACACATAACACCGATACGAAAAATCAAAGGTTGGTAAACATCACAAAATGACCAATGGAGCCATTTTTCCTTTTTTAAATAAATTCATTTAATATAAAATTATCAATTAACCGGTCGTCCCCATACCTCGTCCGGTAATGGGCACCAAATGTATCACTGCATCAATGCCCTGTCCAGTATGAGGAAAAACTATACCTCCAAACCACTTCTAGTATTAGAGTTCTCAGCCCCGTTCGACTGAGGTAATATTCACGGTAGGGTTTGCCCTATGTATCGGGCCTGTACACCCTTTTCTATGATACCTGATAAGCCTTTTATGCACATATTCACATCATTAAACCAATCACCAATTACACGCAATCATTTCATATTTACAGATCAATAGTACGGTATGTAAGCAGACAATATAAATAATTAAAAAATAATATTAGGGCATTTACTTCAAATCAATTGACAGATGAGAATAACAACTAAGCAATCAATAAGTAAGGAAGCAATTAAAATTAATAAATAATAGCAATTTAGGCAGTACAAGAATAAATAGGCAACACAAGTAGGAAAATTACACACTGACCAGTTACCGGCTCCACTGGTGACTTATATTCAATTAGTTAGGGATTTCTAATATTTACAAAAACACATCGTTATAAATTATATAATATTAATTTACCATAATAGAATAAAAAGGTGAGGGGAAAAAATTTTACCTTTCTGACGTCGGTGGTGGCTCCGGTGTGGCAACGATGGCAGTTGGTTTTTTTTCCAACCGCTCTTCTTCTTCTCCTTCTTCGACGAGCTCAGGTGCAGGTAGGGTTAGAATTTTGGGGATGCGATACTTATATACCTTATCTGCATCGATCTGGGCCGTCTGTGCAGGGACACGTAGCCCACTTACCGTCGTTGGATCGCTCTAATTTAGAGAAATAATCTAGGTCGTACGATCTGATCAAATCTAGTTGTTCGATCGTACTTAAAGAGAAAGTGGATCTAGGTCATCCGTGCGCGTGGAAGGAGATCTGGGCCGTTGGATCTGTTGGCTCGCAGATCGCTGATGTGGCTTCCTGTGTGGACAGGTGTCCATATGTATGCCACGTGGCACGCGGTGACTGGTCGCGCTGCTAATATGGTGGTCCATATGGCCAAATATTTATTATTTTTGCTTTTATCCCAGTTTTCTAGATTTCTTTTTAATTAAGTCCTCCCTTATTTCTATTTTAGCCCTGATTTTTGAAAATATTTTCAAATGCATCTAAAATACAATTTTCTTAAAAAATTCAACAAAAAATTAAAATTAATTTTTTTAATTTATTTCATTATTATGATTAAATTATCCCGAGCCTAAATTTCGGCCCCGAATGTTAAAAAAAGTGTTAAAAAATTTTTGCCTAAAGTGCGTAAGACATTACGTATCATGTGTTTTGAAAAAAAATTATATAACGTTGATAGCTAACATTAAAAAATAGTTAATTATGAAAATTTATGATATTTTTGTTAAACATTGCATTTTTCTAACAACACAATTATATTTGACTTACAAGTTGAAATCACTTTTTTTCTAACACTTACAACATTAAAAGAGCATTTTGAGTTTGAAAATTTATGTAATTTATATTGAATATGAAATAAAACATCAATCACAAGTAATATTAAAGATCATTTATGTGAGTTATATATAGTGTTATGCTGAATCATTTCTCAAATTATATCAACTGCTTAAGGCGATATTCTTTGTGTACACCAAAATAATTTTTCGAATCACATCAGTTGATACATAAATAAATATTTTCATAAAATCTTTACTTTTAAAATGTAACATCCGGGCTCGAAAATTGATCCGAAATAATTTTATAAATTATAGAATATATAGATATATATAATTAAAAAAATTTATTTTATTTTAATTTGATTGAAATTTTGAGAAAAAATGAATTATGGACAAAATTAAAAATAGTGTTAGGAAAAATGGGTAAAAATTTGAGTTCGGGGGTGTTTTTGAAAGAAAAATTAAAAACAATGGGTTAAAATACAAATAGAGAAAGTTTGACCACGTAGGACCTGCCAGTCACCAGCCTCGAAGAATCGGAGTGTGTCGCATGGCCAAGCGCGCTGACGTCGGTGCCACGCGGGAGGCCACATTGACGATCCGCATGCCCCACAATCAGACGACCTAG